AACATTCTAGGGGTAAACAAACAACTGAATGTTGCGAGGAGATACATGTAATTACAACAACCCTGTGGCAACCATTAAAAACTTGAAAACTCCTCTTTCAAATGGTCCTGCACTCATTCCATGATGATGTTTGAGAACTGAAATTATGCATTATGAAATCAGTTCATTCTTTTGAATAACCATATATATTTATTTTAATATTTCAATTCTTACTAAAAAGTGTTTTCTCCTGATCAGTGATAAAAATTACATAATCAGTATATATATATATATATAGTTTGTGACCCTGGGTTTCATGCATTTTGCAATCATCAGACAAACTGATATATATTTATAAAAATGGATCTATATATATATATATGTGTTTTGGTGGTATATATATATTTTCTTCTGACATATATTTATACATGACATGCAAAGATATATATATATGCATACATATGTATATACATATATGCATATATACATGTATGTATATACATGTATATATATATATATATATATATATGTATATACATATATACATATATATATACATATATATATATATACATATATATATATACATATATATACATATACATATATACATACACACATATATATACATATATATATACATATATATATATACATATTGTGCGTGTGTGTGTGTGGTGTGTATGTGCTGTGTGGTACGTGTGTGTGGTGCGTGGTGTGTGCGTGTGTGTGCGGCGTTGTGTGTGCGTGTGGGGTGTGGTTGTGTGTGGTATGTGCGTGTGTGGTTTCGTTTTGGGGGTTGTGTGCTGTGCGTGTGTGCGTTTTGTGGTGGGGCGTGTGTGGGACGTTTTGCGCGTTTTTGCGTTGTGTGCTGTGTGTGGCGTTGTGTGCGTGGTGTGTGCCGGGGTGTGGGGTGTGGCGTATGGGGTGGTTGTGCGGGGGATGTGCGTGTGTGTTGCTTTTGTGTGCGTGTGTGTGTGTGTGCTGGTGTGTGTGTGTGTGGTGGTGGGGTGTGTGTGCGGGGTGTGTGTGCGTGTGTGTGTGTGGGGGTTTTGTGTGGGGTTTTGGTGGTGTTGTGGATTTTTGTGGGGTGCGTGGGGTGTGTGTGTGTGTGTGTGTGCATTGTGTGTGTGGGGCTTGTGTGTGGTGTGTGTGCGTGTGTGTGTGGGGGTGTGTGTGTGTGGTGGTGGTGTGTGCGTGTGTGCGGGGGGTGTGTGTGGTGTGTGTGTGTGTGTGGTTTTGTGTGTGTGTGCCGGGGTGTGCGTGCGTGTGTGGGGGTGTGTGGGTGCGTGTGTGTGGGGGTGCGGAGTGTGTGTGTGTGCGTTGGGGTGTGCTGCTTTGGGGGTGTGTGTGTGCTGTGTGTGCTGTGGTGTGTGTGCGTGTTTCGGCGTGCGGGGTGTGTGTGTGTGCTGGGGTGTGTGTGTTGCGTGTGTGTGCGTGGTGTGTACATATATACTTATATATGCAGATAATATGGACATGTATATATAAGTTTGAATAAATATTAATACATATATTTAATTTTTACATACATATATACATTTATCTATTGATAGGAAATATATATAGCCTGAACAGGGACATCATGATGATATATGTGTGTGTGTATACAAACATGTGTATAAACATACTATATTTATATAAATAAGCTTAAATGAAAACTCTTTATATCTACCACTATTCTATTTAATTGGCTATTGTTACACAAAGCTGCCTGTTGGCATACCATATTACATGGGAGGATAAAATCACACACAGGTATATACTTGTGGGAACATATTACATTCTGTTAAATATTTTTCTTTGATGACAAAGTCTGTTCTTTACAATTGATATTTCAGTTTTTAAATAAATCTTGTGTGTGCATTTGGTGTGCGGGGGCCTGGTGTGTGGGGTGGGGCGTGCGTTTTGTGGTGTGTGTGCGTGCGTTTCGGGGGTGGTGCGTGTGTGGTGCATTTTTGGTGCGTGTGTGTTAAAACGTACGTATTTTAATTTAAAAATGCACGTAATAAAGTATGGGGTTGTGTGTGTGTGTGTGCGTGTGTGTGGTGTGTGCGTGGTGCGTGTGTGTGTGGTGTGTGTGCGTGCGTGGTTTGTGTGTGGGGCGTGTGTCTGTGTGGTCGTGTGGGGTGTGCGTGTGTGTGTGCGTGTGGTGTGGTGTTGTGTGCGTGTGTGGGGTGTGTGCGGGGTGTTTTGTGTGGTGCTGTGTGTGTGCGGGTGTGGTGTGTGTGCGTGTGTGTGGTGTGTGTGGGGCGTGTGCGTGTGTGTGGTGGGGTGTGCGTGTGTGTGCGGGGTGCGTGTGGGGTGTGCGTGTGTGTGTGCGTGGGGTGGTGTGGTGTGTGTGTGTGCGGGGTGTGTAATAATTTTCAGGGCCCTCTCAAACACTCCTGTTGATAATTGTTTAAAAGCATTTTTCAGGTTTCTCAATACATTTGCACAGTTTATTTAAAAAAATATATAAAAATATAGTTCTCATCTGAAAATCTGTAAATTATACTTCTCTCTCTCTCTCTCACTCACACCCTCTCTCTCATACACATGATGGTATGATGCTGAAAACTTCTCAATGGACCAAAAGCCCTTCCAGGAAAAAAAAAAAAAAAAAAATCAATATCAAATCTAATGTATATATTTTGCAGCACCCACTCTTATGTATATATAAAGTCATATATGTAAACTTGATACACAGTTAAAAAGTCAATGAATAAGCCAAATTTATTCGGCACTTTTGACTGAATATTCGAATATGGATGGCTTATTGTCATACACCCAACATTATATAAAATTTGTATTCTAAGTTTTATACAAAATATTTATATATATACTTCATGTGAAAATATACATAAATATATATATAAAGTTCATATATAAAATAAAAAAAAAAATATATTTTATTACTATTTTATACATTTACTTTGTTCAAATAATATATATGACCATATATATATTTGGACTTTATATATACAGGATGCATATATATATGTATAGCATACAAATATATGACATAATACTAAGGATTTAATGGAATAATGATACATTGCTTTACAATGCCTTATTTCTCTAGAGGGATCCCCCCTCCACCATCAAATTTAGATTTTTTAGTAAATATCAAAACAGATATATTCATCTTCATCAGAAAATTTACAATCAAATAACCTTCAGAGAAAATAATCATTCCTAAATAATCAGAAATTGACAACAGTAATTGTATTTTTTACAGACAGTTAAACATTATATTTACTTCCCATTTCAGTTTTAAGTTCAACTAGAAATACTTTTATTCTGTAATTAATTTATTAGTAGATGTAGTATTACCAGACATTATTAATTTTATTAATAGTGTTTCTTTCATCTTAATTTTGGTTGCTTTTCATTACAACTATTCAAACTGTTATACTATTATTATCTTTTATTATTCAATGAAGTATAGTCAACAATTTCTTACAAGTATTTTTTCTTCTTAACTTTAGATTTTTTTTCCTTGAATCATCTAATAGCTATTGCCATTAGTAAACATTTCCCTAGACTGTGTTCATTACTAAATATAAAGAATAAAAAGAATGAGTAATGGTAATTTAAAAAAATAGGAATAAAGAATAAGCTCATAGCAAGATTTGAACTTGCATCCTTCTTGCCCTGGGATGTCTGTTTTCTGCAGTAGGCGTTTTAGTGCTTGAGCTACAAACACTTACTGGTTGACAGATGATCAAATCTAATGATATAAATTTGGTCTTGGTTAAGATGAAGTAAATACTTTACAAAAATTAATAAAAGCTATCAATTCTTCATCTAATAAAAATATCCAAGATACATACTGCACACAAACCTGATCTTAATGTTTGTCCATCCAAACTATCAGATGTCAGATCAATATAAGTTTCAGTCTCAAAAGTTATTTGAATGGAGCCAAATTTGTCATATGGCTTATTTAAATGAATCTCCTTCAATCAAACTTTTTGCAAATATTTAATCTTTGAAAGACTGCACATGACCAATATTGCATGGAGTAAAAAAAATTTTAAAAATACATGGAAAAAAAACATATTTTTCATGCAACTGGGAGTTGATTTTGACGGTTAAAAAAGTCTGACAACTGTACAAGTACAAAAATGATATCTAAAATTTTAAATGAGACATGCTACACTAATTCTATAAGAAGCATTTTTATTAATCCACTTTTATTTTTCATAAACCTCCTCAATCTTGTCTTATAACTTGCAAACAAGATGAAAATTTTTAAGTAAAAACTTGTAGAAAATCATTTGGATTGCACCAATTTTTTGTAGTATTTTAATAGTGATGCACTCAAGTAGGTCTCAGTGAGTCCTTGTTTTATATCTATCTATCTATATATATATATATAATATATATATATATATATATATATATAGATAGAGAGAGAGAGAGAGAGAGAGTTAGATATAGTGGCATCTTACTGGTTTGTGCAAACTGAGGGTTTTCTATGAGGAACATAATTTATTCTAACGGAAGAAATCATCTGAAGATTTAAAATGGACAATTCTTCTCGTCATAAATTATATAGGTCTTCCATTGGATCTTTGGGTCTGCAGTGATTCAACTTGAATCTGGCTAAGAACCCATAACACAGCTATTGGACACGAGAAAAAAAGCATCATACTTTGAACTGGTATGATGATGGGAACATTTTTCAGTTGGCAATATTTTTTAATAAATAAGGTTTTTATTAAATTAAAAAAATGGTTTAATTCTTTTTTGATGCTATAAAATTGATTTGTTTCCATTGTCAGATTGAAAAAGATAACAGAAGATGGTTCCTAAAGATTATCTGCCTTTTATAGAACTGGTTTAAAATTAGGGATGTCATTTTATATATATATATATATATATATATATATATATATATATATATATATATATATATATATATGCACATCTATGCACAGACATGCATGCACTTTTGGACCTAGTATTGGTGTCTGCATTCACATGTCACAATGGATTGAACATAAAAAGAAAAAGAAAATTTAAATAAAAAGAAGTCAGAGGTAAAAAAAGAACAAAAATGGAAAGAAAGAAGGAAGAAATGTAAAGAAGAAAAAAAAAGGAAATGAATAATGATGTAAAAGAAGGAGACAAATTGTTAAAGAAAAATGAAAGACCAAAGGAAAAATATCAAGGAAGTTCAACGAATGAAAACAAATCTGGATAGAAAAAGTGAGGAAATGAGAAAAAAGGAAAAACTAAGAAAAGAAGGTAAAAAGTAAATAAAGAGGAAGAAAAAATCAATAAGAAAGTAAGGAAAGAAGAAAAAACAATTAAAGGAGGAAATAAAGAAAAGTAAATGAAAGTAGTAAAGAAAGAAGAAGAAAAAACCTTTTTGAAAGCATTGTTAATGATCAAAACTCATATGTCTGTGTTCAGTGCAATAACCACTGATCCAGATAAAGAAAAATAAATAAATCTGGATCAGAAGTGGTATTTATTGAATGAGGAAAAGGCCAGGAGAATGGGGCCTTCTTTTCACATATTGACTGTAAGAATTTTGCTTAAAGTTCATATTTTCTAGATTCCTGATGAAAAATTGGAAATCTTACAACATATTTCAGTGAAATTTTCACTTTCAAAAATTATTTATAATTACAGTTTTGATATATGGAAAAAAAAATAAAGTGTCTATTTAACTGATATCATTCTATCATTGACACATTTTTTCCATATACGGTGACAATTTTGCTTAAATTTTTCATTTTTTTTTATCTCAGATGAAAAATTGGACATTTTCAAACATATTTCAGTGAAATTTTCACTTTCCAAAATTACAATTTATAATTATAGTTTTTTTTATTGAAAAAAAAAAAATAGAAAGGTGTGAGTTTAAACTGATGCCAGAAGGACATGCTTGTTATTAGGTTGCATTCTTTTTTTCTATGCCATATACTTTCTGGATGAGGGCAGTCACGGCTTCGACAAATTCCTGTCTTTTGTTGCTCTAAGTAACTGTTGACCTGTTACAATTATTATTTGTTCTTTTTCACAATGCATACACTCAAACCTCTTAAGTAAGTTACTTGCTGCTTTTCTCCTCTCTTCTTGCATTCAGTATATCCTGTGAGTGTTAAACTCTCCAGAGCTTCTTTCTTCATTATATGTCACAGAAATTTCAGCTGTCTCTTTCTGATTGCAACTATCAGTTTTTTTTTGCAGTTTCTACTTTCCTGAAAACTTCCTCGTTGATCACATGTTCTGTCCATGGTATTCTCAGCATTCATCAGTAGAACCACATCTTTGCTGCTTTTTCATCTGTGAGAAGATTGTCCAGCATTCATTTCCCAGTTTGTTGCTTTACAATGAAGCCAGATTTGCCAAGCAATAAGTTAGCTTAAAATAAAAAAAATGAAGACTTTTTGACAAGGGGCTTTAACAGGATGGTCATCAGAAAATGCAAACTCACATCACTTGCTTCTTGCGCTCAGTTAACTCTCAAAAGTATTCAGTTATTCTTCTATACAACCCACTTATTTTTTCCTAATACTTAAAAAAAACTAAGACATTTTCAACTTTTTATTAGTATACGTCATCCCATCAAAGAATAAAACATCATACCTCTAATTTCTCAGCCTTCTACATCACCATTGAACCAAATGAACATTTGCAGAGAAATAGAGTATATTCATTAATTGAACATCCTAATATAGTTGTACTTCTCTGTCCTTTCATTAGTTAACACAACCATTATGTCCTGTCAGTACCTCATAAATAATGGACTATTCTACATTTCGCTCATATGCAATGAAAAGGGAAAAGACATTACTTGGTTTCAGAAAGAAAATGAAAGAAATAAGAAAGAAAGAAAATAGAGATGGAAAGAAAGAATCAGATTAAACTGATACAAACAGATACTACATTTTGATCTCAGCCAAGAAAAATTATCTTGCAACCCACACTGGCAGGATATGACAGGTTGGTTTAATATGATGATACTGAGGCATGCACTTGGGGCAGGTCCCAAAATAGCCTAGCCCCTGCAACCATTCATTGCATTGGCATCAGTATTACTACTGATCCTCCCCTCCTTAGTGCAATGAAGGAAATACTGCTGCGAGTAGCTGTTACCCAAGTGTGGGTGCCTCTCAATAATATTTTCAGCAGCACTCTCTCCAAAGACAGAGACACAACTGAGAGATGAAATGTAGTTTATCCACATGAAGACAGATACTACACTTTTGATCCTAGCCAAAATGCCAAGAAGCGATCGTATTTTTCAGCACACCCATGTTGTTAACAAATGTAACACAAGGTCAAAGTTTAGAGTGGGCTTTTCAGCAATACGGTGTAAAATTTGCCCAAGCTCTCTCAGCACTTCACAAAAGGAGAGGTACTGCCTGAGGAAAGGCCTCCTGGCCTTAGGCTTAATATTTTTTACCCACCCTGACTGCCGAAAAGCAAAGATGACAATGATAAAAGCAACATTTTTCAGACACACAGTACTGAATGATGAAAACTGAGTAAGGCAAAAAACCAGTTAACCATAAATAAAATAACATCATCTGCTGAATTATTTTAAAATTATTATTAAGAGAAATATTCATAAGATGGCTAGAAAGAAAGAAAGTATTTAAAGACTTCTGCCAATACCTCATAAATAATGAACTATTCCATTTTGATTTTTAAAATAATGACCAGCATTCATGTTTATAATTGCTATTGCAATATTTTGTTAAAATTGTTAAGCTTAAATATTTTAATGTGATAGGGGAATTTCTACAGATATTTTATTGTGGTAGAATCCTCCATGATCTTATTCAATCATTAACTTACAATTAAGATTCATCAGAAAATTCAAGCATGAAATTTTCACAGGTCTTTCTAGTTTTAGGAATATTTACTAACTACAAGAGCATCAGCTTTGAAAATCACCATTCAATGTATTGGGCTTTACCTGGGTTTGGTTTGTTGGAGTTGTTGACATATCAACCCATCCTGGAGTCTATAATGCCATAATCCAATTTTTAGACTCGAATATATGGTTAAATATTTGTTGCATTTATATTTGAGTTAATAGATAAATATTGGTAATGCTTGTACTTGATTCAAAAGTTAAACACTAATAAAGATTGGTCAGAGTTATACTTGTGACTATAGATAAATTTTGATTGAGTTCATACTTGAATCACCAGTTGAGATAATACATGAGTCTAAAAATAATTACGTCTTGTGCATATAAGCAAACATTGGTCGAGTTTATACTTGAGTCTATAGGTAATCTCTGATTGTGTTTATACTTGAGTCAGCAAGCACTTAGCCGGAAGGTGGCCTCTTTTAGGTGGATTTGACCTCTCTGCAGATGATACAGTTGGTGTATTCAAGACTTGCGCATAGGGCAACCTGGATTTGAATACTGACCACTGGTGCAATAAGGAAATAGGCAAGTATCTCAATGACCATAACAGGTCAAGTGATATTTATGCCAACTGAACCAGCAAATGTTATGATTTTGAACAAATATAGTTTAAAACGAACCTTTTCAACCAAGCTGACACAGGAAAAGGAGCCTAAAGTTTTTCTTCTTCTAGTTTTTTCACTGTCACTTGTCCAATCTGGTTATCTAAACGTACATTGGGTAAGACATAGATACATCTCTTCTCCCACAAGATATGAGTAAATAGTGGGGTAGGCTGGTCTCTCTAGGCTTGGTAAAGCAACCAGTCTAGGAAAAAAGTACAATTTTGAATTCAAAACTGTGAAGAAACTAATGAGAAGCCATTCTGCTGTCTTTCACAAATAGTCATGGTAATTTGAAGATATAAAAGAAAAGAGATAGCAACTATCAGTGCAAAAAATAGTCAAGTTTCTTTCTTTTACTTTTACACAAATTCACTTAGGAAAGGTATGAACTCATCTCTACTTCCCCCTCCTCCAGCTATAGATTAAATAAGAGGGAAGACTGTGCTCCCTAGCCTTGTTTGGTAACCACCCTAAAAGAAAGACAAATTTGAATTCAAAACCAGTTGGACATAAGGATGGCAACTCCATCCCTGTAAAAAGCTACTTGCTATGGAAACCCTATCAGCAACACTATAGTAAAGTCATTGCTCTATACTCTATAGAGGGGTCTAATGATACTAAAAAAGAGGAGGAAAGAAAAAAAAGCTATGAAGATCTATGACCGCCCACATGGCATTAAAAAGACATATTTCCTCAGTCACTTTCACTTTCATTCTCTCAATTATAAACTGCTAAAGAGTAATTTCTGTCTGATTTTCTGGGACAAGGAGTTATTTATTTATGCTATTTACATTCATACTATTGTCCTCATCTTTGTTGTTGTTGTTATCATACTGTTCGAGCACTGTGTCTTCTCGCCTTCATCAGGTGTATATAGATTCGAGTAACCTCAGGGAATTCCAAACTGAATCTTTTATTTAATCTACAGATGCAGACTGTTCCCATTTCAATGCCCATATCTAGGGATATCTCATCTATTTCTTATTTTTAGTACTGCTTGCCCTGTTTCCAAAGACTGCATTCACAATTACAGTGTTAGCAAATTCATGAACCAACGAATCCACTAGGCTATACTACTGTACTGTACTGATGCGGCATTCACCCTGGGCGGATTGAGCCGGCTTCTTCCTGTTATGAGAAGAAGATTCTTGAGATAAATTACAGAAGTAGGGTACCCAGGCCTACCGGATAACGTTTTGCTTGCCGCGGGGTTCCCACAGACGAGAGACAGGAATCCACCAGAAGCGCATTGGTTACCGGCGTAGACGCTCCTTGATTTTCACCAGAGCCCTTGTTAGCCGTGTGTGTGTCAGACCTGTCCGCCTTTGGTGGCTTACCAGGAACGAAGTTCCGGGCGGTATAGTTTCTGACACTACCGTTTACACCCCCACCGACTGTGAGATAAGGGTTGGACTTTGGGGGCTTACAGTACCAGGTGTTCCCAAGCGGTCCCCCATCTAAGTACTGACCTGGCTCTACGATGCTTAACTTCGGTGATCGAACAAGAACCGGTGTTTCAGCGTGAATTAACCGTAAGCAATCCACTAGGCTATCGTCCCATAGGACAATTCTCTGTCTCTTGAAGCTTTAAAGCTTGTAATGTGCTGAATTCCCTGTAGGTTATCTGTTTTGATATACACATGAGTGCACAACAACTGTAACGCTGTAATAACAAAAACAAAGATGAGGACAATAATCCTTAATGTCAAAGAGGAATTTTATTGCTAATCGATTTGGAATCTGGAAATATACGTTCTGAGCATAAAAGTCTTTCAATATATAACAATGAAATATGATTAACCAGAGACCAGTATTCAAAAAAACAAATTCTACAATGGTCAATTCATCTGATTGGTTTCTGGTTTGCAAAAAAATACTTAAAAGAAAAGCAAAAACAAAACCTACCTGATAATCTGACGATTGTAATTTCATTCGACGAGTTGAACTTTTCTGAACTCCTTTCGAGTCATCTTCAGACTCACGTCCCCTTTTCGAACCCGTAAGCAACGTGCTGTGCCCAATGTCTTGGTCAGCGGACGGAGCAGTCGACACGTCTGGCCAGGAGGTTGTCTGGTAAGACGGGCACATCAAATGTCTTTGCTCACCGACGCACCGATTCGACGGATTCAGTCCGCTACGCTGAGCAGCGTTTCGCTTGTCGTTACAGCGGATAATACAAATGGACACCGACGCTGTAATAGGCACGGACACCGAAACAGATACGAGCACAATGACAATAAGTAAATACAGATGCACTGTATCGTCTGACTGAATGTAGACTGCATTCAACATTTCCGAGGTTTTGTTGCTGACGGCCAGCTTGAGAGAGAGGGAAGTGTTTGCCGACCTGACCGGGGTTCCGCTGTCCTTGACGACAAACTGGAGATCGTAGGTTCCGGCATCATGTGGGGTAACCACTCGTGCAAACGACAAGAGTCCCGAGTAATGGTCGATTGTGAACAACTGTTTGCCGTTTCCGCCAGTGATTTCATAGCGGAGAAATGCATTTTTTTGGCTATCACTGTCAGACGCCTTCAGGACAGTGATATTGTTTGTGTGATAAGGATAGTAGACAATGTCCAACGTGAAGGGGTTAATACTAGGAAACGTGAAGTACGGAGAATTGTCGTTTTCATCCTTGACCTCAACAATGACATTGACCGAATTATTCAAGGACGGGATTCCATTGTCCTTCACCATGACCTTGAACTTATAGGTCTTCTGAAATTCGTGGTCTAAAGACATAACGGTCGATATCAAGCCGTCATCTTTGATAATAAAAGGGAGAAAATGTTTGCTGTCGGTTATCAGTGAATAGGTTAATTTGCCGCCCGGTCCGAAATCAGGGTCAGTGGCATTGATGAAGCCAACTGAGATCTTCGATTTTTGGTTTTCCTGGATACTGAATTTGAAAATCTCTTTGGAGAACTGAGGTCTTTCATCGTTGACGTCCATTACTTGGATAGAAAATTTGCTTTCACTGTGTAAGGGAGGCGATCCTTTGTCTTGGCAAACAATTGAGATATCATGATGATCTTTTGTTTCTCGGTCAACCGGGTTTTTGACAATCACTTTGTACTTATTGGTCCTTAGTTTCTGCAGTTGGAATTTTTCGTGCTGAAGATCGCAGCTGATGATCCCATTCTTACCGATATCATGGTCAGTGACTTTTACGTAAGCGATGAAACTGCCGACTTTAATGTCTTCGGATATAGTCGTCGTGTTGCCTGTCGACACAGACACCAGATTTACGTCAATTGTTGGGGCGTTGTTTTGCTGATTAATGACGTTCACCAAAACCATCGTGATCGAGCTCAAAGGAGGGTTACCGCCGTCTGTTGCTTTCACGTATAGCTTGTAAGTCAGTTTTTGTCCCGACGTGAACTTCTTTTGAAGAAAAATCTCTCCTGTCACGTCGTTCAGCTTGAAGTGCGTCTTGACAATATCCGAAGTCTGCGAGCTGAAGTGGTACGAAATTTTACCGTTCTTTCCCGAATCCAAATCCACCGCCGATAAAACAGTAATTGCTAAGCTTCCATCGTCTTCACTGCCTACAGAAACATTGAAAACGTTCTGAGAAAAAACAGGAATGTTATCATTGACATCTGTCACTGAGATGAGAACCTCCAAGACGCTCTGCTTGGGTGGTGAGCCTCCATCTTTGGCAATCACCTGGATCATATAGGAATCCTTTACTTCTCGATCTAACCTTTCTTGCAGAGTCAAACTCAAATCAGATGTTCCATCGACACTCTTAGAAACAGACAGAGTAAAAGGTTCGTTCACCTTATTTTCCAATTGATAAGTAACTTGGGAATTAAGTATCCCAACATCTCGATCGATCGCGTTTGGGATCGATCTTCGAACCCCTTTACTGTCATCTTCCGAAAACTGGATGGTCACTTGTTTGTTAGGGAACTCGGGCTGGTGATCATTAATGTCTTTGATAACGACCTTGATTTCGAGTATCTTCATGAACGTTTCGCCTCTACGCACTGCGACGTCAACCATCTTGAAACATTCCGTATTGCGCACACATAACGTTTCCGCGTCAAGAATCTGGATGGTATAAAGTTTTCCTGTACTTTCCGAGACGCGGAACAGCTGGGAACTTCCCGTTACGCTCTGCATCTGACTGAATGTGATATGGTTCGATTCCTGACGGGAGATACCATCCATTAGATGAGCGTCGGCAGCAAGGTCGCCTACCAGGGCGCCTGGGTTCTGGCCTTCCTCCACATAGTAGGTGAGATCGACACACAGGCACTGGGGCAGAAACAAAGTCAGCAGAAGGCTTAGAGACATCCACATTTTTCAAAGTCCGGCTCGTTACGCCAAAGAAGAGGAAAGTGTAAAGACTTGAGGCAAAATCAACATATTACCTGGAAAAAAAAAGGATAAAAAAAACTAATAAGCCGTTGGTAAAGGACTGATAGTCATGCATTTACACAAAACAAACGCTTCATACGCCGCTTTGTTTGATGTTTACATATGCTAGTCATGTTTGCAGTAATATGGTTTTGAAATTCTTATTAGATGAAGTATTGTTAAAATGGATGATGAATTTGTTTACTGAATGTATCATTAGACGAAGTATTGCTAAAAAATAGTGTTAAAATGATTTCGAGCGAATGAAGGTCTTAGTGAGGACCATTCTTCTTTGAACTTCGTAGATTGGCATTACAAAATCGCAAAGTAGTATTCCAGATAACAGAAACTACATCACTTCAAGACTTTCAACAGCCGCAACAAGTAAAATGGATATCACAGGTAACTCGGAGAGAAAATAATGGCATAATCAAGATGTTGACTTACAAACTACTTCAAATAAAAGCTTAGGCAATACTACAACCTATCAATACTGGAAAGGGCATTAACATCTATTGGATTTGAGAAACTTATTTTCGTGATAAATTGTTTTAATAATGACATAATCAAAATGTTAACTTTCCACACTACTTCAAATAAAATGTAAAGAAGGAAACCTGCATCAATACTGGAAAGAGCAATAACAGTTACTGGACTTAAGAAATCTATTTTCCTGATAAATTGTTTTCAAATAACGCTTTTATAAATATTAATCGAAAGTCACACTGACACTGTCAATGAATGCCAAACTTTTCCACATAAGTAAACAGCTAATATCGTTACCAATGTTGGTTCTTCTTATTTTTGACGGGTATTTATTTCATCTTCTGTCATTTCTTAACACAACTTCCAGATCGTCATTCTACAATAATAAAGAAAATGGCGCACATCGTAAATAAGAATAAATATAAAAGTTCCGAGTTAAAATTTAGCTAGAGGTTTATTTTTCTTATAAATGGAGCTGCTTAATATCGAACCTAGAACGACGATTTCAATGTTGTGATAAAAAACGTAGAAAGAATATGGATGAAATATTAGTAAAAAATATTAATAATTGGCAAAGTTTCATCTAATAAAAAATAAAAAATATCATTACTTCTAAATAAGACTAGAAGATGTAAACATTAAACGTGGAGGCATATCAAGCGTTCGGCAACAGGCCATCAAACAAAGAAATCGAGTGGCTCAAAATGGTTTTAAAACAAATAGTAATATTGATTGATTCATTTTCTACGGTTTTGCAGGTAATTTAAAGCCAGAAAATATTTTTAGATTGGAAGATTTTTTTATATAATACAATATTATATAATAGTGATACAAATCTTACTAATTAACCAGTAGCTAGGGACAGAAGAGGTAGATTCATAAACTTCCTAAGAATATTTGCGCATAAGTATATATAACGAACTCAACTGGAATTGGAACTTATTTCTGCGATTAACAATTCCGAGCGATTATCTATTACACCACCTGCACATCGAAGTTTGCAGTATCTGGTATTGCCAAGCGATCATCTTATTCTCAGAAAGGAAAAAAAAGTTATATAAACTGCAAAAAAGATATGTGCCATTTATGGGGATGGTATCATAGCTAAGAATACTTTTTGTAAGTGATTTGTTAAGTGGAAATTTTGATCTATAATACTGAGAACGTTCCAGTAGATTTGCAGTCGTTGATGATGAATAAATCGAAACGGTGATTAACAATTATCCGGGTCACACAACACGGGATATCGGAACATGGCAGAGAGGCTTTAAACATAAGCGTTGTAGGACCTTTTAAAATACTTGGATACATGAATCAGTAAGACGTTGGGTGCTTCATGAATTAACGCCAAAAATTAATGAAAAGAAACGATCACAGACGATGAAAAATAGATTGTTTACAACAATGTAAATCGAAAAATATCCAAGATAAACAATAAACCTGTCCACGTCCAAGGTAATGCTGAGTGCCTGGTTGGATTAGAAAGGTATTGTGTAATACGGGCTCTTTCCGCAAAATCAGATATTAAATTTAGACAGGTAATGATCTCAATTGGACTAATTAAAGGCGGTATTCAATATAAAGCGCCCGAAATTAGCCAATCGGGTGTCATCTTCCATAAGTACAACCTCAGACCTCACATCACAATGGATGAGATATCATAATGCAGCCACCACACTTATTTAACCTTGCACCTACGAATTACCAGTTATTTCGATTCCTCAGTTCTCTGGAAGCACGTAAAAACTTGTTAGACCATCTTAGACTCAAAAAGATGGTATGTTCAGAGAGGATCGAATTATGAAGCAGGCACAAAAATCGTGAAAAGTAATGAAACGAAATGGCACATATATGGCTGGGTATATATATATATATAAATATTGTTTTTGAACCTTTTCCCCTGATTCAATATATAGGACAGCAGAAAAGTAACTCCCCATTTTAAAATACTTATAATTTATTTATTAACTATAATTTTTACAAGAAATGGATATGAGAGGAAAGCATTCAGCATGAGGTTTTATTTAAAAATTCGATATGGGCACCAGATTTTGCTACCAGCTTCTGGAGTCGCCCAGGAATCGTGTCAATTTATTTCACCGGGAACTCTTTTAGTATAGAAGACATAACTTTTTGTATTCGCCCTTCAAGTTCTTCCAAAGTGTCTTGGTTTGGTATAATAGACTTGGTGCTTTAACCAACCCCAAAGAAAAAAGTCACAGGGTGTCAAGACACCTGGTTGGCCATCCATACATTTCAATCACCCTGTATATAAGCAACATTAGACTAAGTAAAAGTTTGGACATATATGTTTAATAAATCCTGCCTGTTATATACAGGGTTGATTATTTCTTTGACGACACGTCTTTTCAAAACTAACTTCTTTCTAATTATCATTTTTTATCAGATAAATGATAACAAATATCAAACTAACTCAGTAGATGCAAAGGTACGCTGTAATCGTTGCATTAAAGGCAGAGCATAATGATTTAAACATTGCTGGCTTCCCGAAAGTTGCACTGTTATTTATTGTCAAAGTATGCGAAGAGCTGGAAGCGGCTGACGGAGATTCCACGGCAGTAGCCAAGCGTAAAACGTCTGATAAATGTCTTAATATCATTGGAATACCTAACTTCGTACGAAATGTACGGAAACCTAAGAAAGTCAATTAACATCACTGCTAGAAGAATTGTGCATGAGAGCCTTTGATCCAAGTCATATATGATGTGGAGAAGCCGCATCACATATGACTTCTATCGGATTTTATCTACAAAGACAAAAGATAACTGTCTAATCCGTACAAAGTGCTTGTTGAGCAAGTTGAAACATCAAGAGTCTGAATTGCTTTGGTTTTTCTCTAATGAGAAAATCTTTGGTCAGGATCAGAAGGTCAACCAAAGTAATAACAGATGCTTATGCAGAGAACCTGAGAACCTTCCAACGGTCATGCATAAAAAAGTTTCCAGCAAATGTGACGACCCTGGAAGTTATGAGAAATGAGGGAGGTGTTATACTTTTTTATTTATTTCTCCAGGGCTTAAAAGGAAATGTTGCTGGCTATATGGAAATGTTGGAGAGGCCTTAAATAGAGAACGTAAGTAAAGGAAGACCCTACACCTATCAACAAGACTCTGCACTGTCTCATAAGGCCAAGATGACCCAAGAATAGATGTTTTACAATCTCCACGATCACGTCACCAAAAACATATGGACTCCTAGCTCTCCAGTCCTGAATCCGATGGACTGCTATGTATGGCGGGAAGACCAGAAGGAAGTCAATCAACGTCCCCATAACACTATAACCACCCCTAACTATACAATGCCCAAATAAAGATCATCTTGCTCGGACATGTCAACGTTTCAGACCCCGAAATGAAGAAGTTGTCGATACTACCGGCAGATTCATTAAGTAGATACGCCAACAAGTCTTAAGATTAACACTATTTTTCCTCAAATGAAAATCTTCTTTCTTGACTTATGTGAATTATTTAAAATTCATTTCATCAAAGTATTGAGCAACCCAGTATGTAATCATTAGGGAATGGAGGTTTCAATGGATTTTGCTTAGATTGTTACGAGAATGCTTGTTGTGTTTATGTAGAAAACACGTGTCTCCTGGTAGTATTTTTCCCTTAACAATCCTCACGGTCTCGAATGTGTGCCCAAATAATAAATGAGCAAATACTAAACAATCTAAAACAAACGACAATGCATGCATTAACAAAAGTATTACAATAAAAGAAGAAAACATTTAAAGACTAGTTTCATAAAGCGTTTAAATTAGACAATGTGTATTGTGTGAAATTTGTGTAGGTCTACGTGATAGACACGTTTGTGAAATAGTACAAAAAGTCACAAGAGAAAAGTAAGACATTGAAAACGAAACGTGCCTCGGTTGGGGACACTTTTTCCCGCGTACGATTACATCGTATAACCAGAGTTGTAAAAGGGGAGAGAGAATGAAGGAGAATATCATTCCCTACTTATAAGGCTTAAGACGCGTCCCCTAGCGACATTTTTTTAAGAAACTCAAGTGGGATAACCCACAATATATATAACAGGTAGGATTTATTAATCATTATTAGAGAATTAACGTTTTGATCGATTTGTTTAATAAACCCTACCTATTCGTAACCATAAGAGGTAATTAATTTTTTTCCTAAATGCTACTTGTGATGCAAAAACTTACGTAAACAACCAGTGTAATATTTTTATGTATTTTTCTTCATGAAGCACTTTTCACAGCTCTTTAATCATTGTTGATTTATTTTTCCTTTTGTCCAATCTATGTTTAACTCGAAAGATAATGGAATGTAAAGTAGGAACTGAAGAAGAGATTACATTTTTTTTGTGGGAACAAGAAAGACAGAGTTTCGAAAAAGTGTGTGTAAATGTCTTATTGACAAGTTTTTTTTTTTAATTTCGTGTTTATTCATCGTCTTCTGCGATTG